ACTTAACCATTTGTGCCAAGGGAGGACCTTATACCATTTAATTAATTATTTTTTACATTATTGTTAGTTTTTAAATGTTTGCTTCCCCCTCCTTTCCGCTCAGGTGTAGTCCCCATAGAATTTCCTTCACCAGTGCACCAGTCCACCATCACCACAGCCCCCTGTGCTCCTCCCTCCCTCCCTCTGCTCCCTCTCCCTCCTCCTCCCCTGCAGGATGTCTCTGGTTTATAATTGTATGTTGTTTTTGTTTTGTTGTGCTTTGTATTGTTATCACTTTTTCCCCTTGATGTCTTATTTGGTTCCCCTATATTTCTCCTGTAAGTGAAAACCCTACACCATTTTAAACTTTAAGAGAGGTATTTCTACTCAACAGTTCTACTTCTAGGTATCTAACAAAGAGAAGCACTTTCTTCCATGCGCAACAGCACATGTAAACTTCTTCACTTCAACGTTATTTATAAAACCAAAGAGGCAAGCACTGCAACAATGCATCACTAAAAGTATCATTAAAAAAGTTTGGCTATTTAAGCGCTGAACGCCATGCAGACTTTAAACAGAGAGGAGGGTAGTGGTAGGTGGAAACCCCCTTTTAAAGACCCATTTAAAAGCAGAAGCACCTTACAGAGAAAGCTACATGTGTGGACATCTTCTTACAGGCACAGAAATGTGCACAGAAATACATCTGGAAAGACATATTCGTAGGCTTGGGGCCAAGGTGGGGCAATCTTCTCCCTTGACCACCTCTCCCTGACCTCCCAGGCTGAGCTGTGAGTGGGCGTTGCCTTCAGTCACTGGTCAACGTGACGCTGTCTCCCCACAGCCACGGGCACAGCAGAGCGACAGAAGAGAGCGTGTCTCCTCTCAGCGAACACCTAGTAGTTCATGAAAGGAATATTTATGCTTCATCTGTGCAATCTGAATCAATGGATTTTGAATGTTCTAGGGCCTAAGGAAAGAAGCTCCCCTCTAGGCAATAGAGCCTTGGTTTGGTTTAAATTTGAAGGTGAACTGCCCTGGTTGCTTTGAGCACCTCCTAATACCACTAGGGTGGGGATGCCCATGATTGTGCTTCTTGGGGGCGATCTATTCTGATCAAGAAGGGAAATGCGTCTGTTGCTTCACAATGGAGGGAAAAGAACTGAGCCTACTGTGGGATGCCACCTGCACCCCCGTGTACATTACTATGAAGGTCAGTGGTGATTGTGGTGACCCAAAAAATACAGGTTCACAAAGGACTTGGAGGCTATGGAAATGAAGTTTTGGGTCACCCTGTCAGGTGACCTGACCATCTGATGTGCTGAGAGTGGGCAAGGGATCGTGGAAAAGGTGGTGGAAGGAAGAAATTGCAGAGACGAAAATATGTGAGGAAGAACGGAAGTTTACTTGCAAAGAAGTTGCAAGGGAATCACACTTTGGGAGAACAGGCTTAGCAAACAAAACCACAGCAGGCATTCAAAGGAAATTCGGTGTGGTTATCCTTTTTAAGAAGTTTTTGTTTTTCTGTTCACAGATAGCAGGACAGACCTCTTTCACGAGATTATCATATTCACAAAAGGTCATACATATCTTTAGGCGTCAGCATTGTGGCAGTGGGAGATAAAGTTGTTTTTTCTGGGCAGTCAGCAATTATGGGAAACATTGAAAGTTTAATTTATTTTGGGGACTAGAAGGAGAACTGTTCTTGTGAAACCCGCTTGCAATTAATCAGCAAAATCCTGTCAATCTACCATCACAATATATCCAGAATCTGAACCTTCCTCCCAACCTCCATGCACATATCACGATCATCTCCCACCTGGATGTGACAATAGCTCCTTACCTGGATTCTCCATTTTCCACCCTTGTCCCCTTTCATGAAAGTCAGTGTAACAGTCATATTGTTGCACCTAACCTATAAGTGAGGTCACACATTACTCTTCTGTTCTGACCGCCCCCCCCCCAAAGTCCACCTCTCTAACTTGGAGGAAAAGAAATCCTTAGTAATAGCCCACAAAGCCCTCAAGAACCGGCAATCCATGGTTTCCCTCTGTGATCATTACTCCTCTTCTCTCTGCTCACTTCTCTATAAAATCTCTGACATCTCTGTAAATGAATGATCCTTGTACACACCAGACATTCTCCACCCCCAGACATTAACAGCAACTTCTTTGCACTTGCTGTGCCCTCTGTCTTGGAACACTCTTCCTTCGAGAGCCCCTCATGACTTGCTCCCTCACCATCTTCAGACTCTGCTCAAGTGTCACCTTCCTGGTAAGGCCCTTTTTTGATACCCTATTCTAGATAGTTCATTAGAAGTCAACCCTTTTTTACTTCCCGGCTATATTTTCCTCCATAGCACTTATCACCATGAGATGTTCTATCTATCTATCTATCTATCTATCTATCTATCTATCTATCTATCTATCTATCTATATCTATCTATAGATATACAGATATATGTTTTTTGTCATTGATTTTGTTTATCTGTCTCCCACTAGAATGAGGGTGCTCACCCACTATAAGGGCAAGCTTTTTTGTCCTTTTACTGCTGAAGTATGCCTCTTTTGAAGGAGCGTGCCTGGCAGTGTGCAGACATCCACTAAGTACTTGTTGAATGGATGAATAAATGTGTGCATAGGTGACTGGAAAAATATACCAAGTTCTTTGTGGGAGAACTTCAACAATGCAGAAGTGGTGATTATCCCCAGATTAGCGTGTGAGTACAATGCAGAGGGAGCTAGCAAAGACCTCACCACCCCCACTCTTTTCCAGGAAGAAGTTGTTGCTCAGGCATGGGACTGGGGAGACTACTGTCTCCCCTCTCTGAGTTCACTCCCCTCCAGGGTGGTCTGTGTCTGGTGACAGGGCGACAAGGGGTTGTAAAGGTCCTGGCTCAGCCCCATGCTGGACAGCTGCACCTGGCACTGTAGGTTGACCCAGGTTACATGAGCTGGGCTGTGTAGGGTCTTCAGGGCTGTGTAGGTTCTCTCTGTGCCCACTCCTCCTTCTTTCCCCTTCCTTTCACAGGTATTGATCCCTAATAGATAGCTGCACCCCAAGTTCAGTCTCAGCATGGACTTCCAAGATCCTGTAACAAATACTAATCAAAACAACAAATAAAAGTAAAACAAGGGACTCACTGGTGGCTCAGCGTGTTGAGCGCAGTGCTGTGAAGCTGTGCGCAGCTTCTGCAGCACGGGTTCAATTCCCTGCCGGTCAGGGAGATTCCCACATGGCATGGTAGACCTCTCCTGTCTCACCCATTTCTCCTCTCAGCAGTGTATTTTGGTCGACTGCCTGTTCTGCTCCCCGCTCTGTCTCCGGTGAATCTTCTCACCCTCCCGCACCTCTGGCCTGTACTCCAGCTCTTGTATAAAAATAAATAAATCTTTAATTAAAAAAAAAATCTAGGGCCTCCCTGGTGGCGCAGCGGTTGAGTGCTGGGCTGCGAAGCTGCATGCAATCTCTGCAGCACTGGTTCCATCCCCGGCTGCCTGCGAGAATCCCACATGATGCGCAGACCTCTCCTGCTACGCTCACTGCTCCCCTCAGCAGTGTACTTTGTCAGTCTGCCTGTTCTGTTCCCTGCTGTGGCTCTGGTGAATTCTCTCACCCTCCCGCACTTCTGACTGTACCCAGTGCTTGTATAAATAAATAAATAAATCTTTAAAAAAAAAAGAATACAAGACAAAGCTGGAAACAACTTAAATGTTTATCAACAGGGAAAATCTTAATAAGTAAATGATGAAATGATAAATGATCGATAGTGTGAAATGAGATGGAGAAAAATAAAGGACATTATATGAAGTAATGTAGAGAAAATGTCCCTGATGCATTGTTATTTGTATAAAAAAGCAAGTTACAGAAAACAATTCCATCTATATAGAAAATATAATCTAAATTGTGTTTGCTTTCCTTCTCTACCTTTCAACACACTCTGTTTCCTTCTTATTGCAAGGATGTGTGTATAAATTCAGGGTAGCTCCCTTAGAGAGATTTTATGGGTGAACTGGTTGAAATTGAAGACCATTCATGAAAACAATCCCTGTGGAGGGGTCCCACATCTGGGTGTCACGCAGCACTGGGTTTGAAATCTGCCTCTTTCACTTGCCAATCTATGATCTTGGTCAAGTCACACAGTGGCTCTGACCCATGGTCTGTCATTCAAAATAATAACAAAATTGGGGCCACCCGGGTGGCACAAGGGGCTAGGATGCAGCACTGAAGCTCTCCATAGCCGCTGCAGCACGAGTTTGATCCCGGCCAGGGAGCTACCCACATGGCACAGCAGACCCCTCCTGTCTCACCCGCAGCTCCCCTCAGCAGTGTATTTCAGTCAATCCGCCTGTTCTGCTCCCCACTCTGTCTCTGGTGAATCCTCTCACCCCCCACATGTCTGGTCTGTTCCCCAGTTCTTGCATGCACAAATAAATAAATCTTTTTTAAAAAGCAACACTTTAAATAATAATAATAATAATAATAATAATACCCAAATTCTTGTGGGAACTGAATGGTTAATGTGCAGCCAATGCTGACACAATTCCCATTTCATCTGATGATCAATAAATTTTGCTCCTTTCCCCAGCTTCCCCCCTCCCATTCTGACCAGGAAATCCTATTCTCCATCACCCTCTCTCCTCCTTTTACGCAGAGTGAAAAGAGTTACGCCAGAGCTGGGGCACCTTGAGGGCTGAGACTCCAGAGGAAGGCCAGGGACTTGGGTGAAGACTGAGCAGCAGCAGAGCAGTGGGCTCCTCCGGACCAGGTATGCAATCCTGGAAACACCAACAGTTCTAGGAAATTCAGATACAGGAAGTGAAAAGCTAAATTGTGCAGCTTCCCTCACCCATATGGTACAAATGAGGAAGTTGGGGGGCTGGAAAAAGCGGAAAGGGAGTAGGCACAGCTGGGAGAAGAACAGAGCTGGTTCCATCACAAACTCCCCCCACCCGCGCCCCCACGCAATCTCTGCCTGTGTTGCGATTTCAATTCCTTCTCCTTGTTTACTGCCCATAGTTGAGGAAGTAGGAGATTCCAGAGGATAGACTCCAGGCTCACAGACACAAAGACCAGCGGGAATTCAGTTTCTTCTATGGCTCCTCCTTCCCTCGCCTCTACCCCACTCTCCAGCGTTTCGTTTTTCCAGTTCTGATCATTGCTGCCCTGAGATCCCGAGAGCCACAGCCTCCCAGCTCGCCACAGGTAACTGGGCTGGGGATGCAGGTGAGACCGAGGGACCAGGGAGGACGTCAGAGGAAGCAGAGAAGGACTGTGCATCTAAATGGGAAGACGGAGAAGGGGCAACTTGGAGATGTCATTGCCCAATGGAGCGTCGTGAGTGGGCGTGTTGCATTCTCCTCCTGCCTCCGCGGGGTCTGTTTTCCAGGATGGCACCTACACCTTCAGTCAACTGGAATGGTAGCCCCCGTCCCAACTGGGGATGAGCTCAACTATTTCCGGCTTTAGTGCGAAGTTTAGGTCCGACTTCATCCATGGCTCCAACATAAGGGTCAGCCCCAATCCCAGCAGGAGGCGCAGCCTCAATTCTAGCTGCAACGATCTAATCCTAGCAATATATTTTTCCAACGTCACATCCATCTTCAATCCCAAACTCTGCCCACTCCAGTTCAAAACCTAATCTTTTCTATTTTTTTTTAAGATTTTTTTATTTATTTATACAAGCACTGGGGTACAGACCAGAGGCTGGGGAGGGTGAGAGAATCCACCAGCCACAGAGCAGGGAACAGACCAGGCAGAAAGACCAAAATACACTGCTGAGGGGAGCAATGGGTGAGACAGGAGAGGTCTGCCACACCATGTGGGAATCTCCCTGGCCTGCCGGGAATCAAACTGGTGCCGCAGAAGCTGCAGACAGAATCACAGCTCTGTGCTCAACCCACTGCGCCACCAGGGAGACCCTCAAAACCCAATCTTGAGCCCACACCTAATCCAGACTTCAAACCCAGGTCCTTTCCGATTCCCAGCTGTGAGGCCAGGCCGCTTCCTAACTGGAACCTCAACTCTCACCTCAGCTCCAGCCCTGACATCGGCACCAGCCGGCCCCAGCCTCCCCGTTTGTGCCAACTTCTTCCGCAGCCTGGCCTCTGGCGCTACCTCTGTCTGTTTCAGCTCTGACAGCTTCGGTGTTGGGCCAAGCATGTCAATGAAGTATGAGAACTTCCAGAACATGGAGAGTGAGGACAAAAGCCAGTGGTTTAGAAATGGTAAGAGGAAAGAGAACTGGCCTATCCTAAAACACCCCTTAATATGTTTAGAAGGATTTCTTTGTGATATCCCATCTGCATATCTGGGACACCCCCCCCCGCCATCCCGACTCAGAGAGGGCCAGGACCCAGGATGAGAGGATTCAAGGTCCCCAGGAAAACAGGGGCAGGGAGACCACAGAGATGTGGGGTCGTGTGTGCTGGGGCGGCAGATGAGTGCTTGCGCTGGGGAAAGAGCAGTTGGGCTTAGACGGAAAGCTCATTCTGCTGACAGTACGGAGGACGTGAGTCTTCTAAAGACCTGGCTCCCCAACACTCTCTGGGTCCTCCTGCCACCTCGTCAGCTCTGATGATAGGACTTTATACAACATCCTCCTCCTCTGTCCTTGTGTCCTTGTGATGGGCATTCCCCAGGGGTGTGAGGGACCCATGCAATGAGGACCTGTGAGGCCTGTGAGGGGTCAAAGGCCAGGACACCCCCTGTCCCACAATTCTTGTCCAGCCCCATCACCTCACAGATCCCTGTGGGCCCATCCACCTCACGTCCCACACCCTCCTGGTCCTGACATGCTTTCCCTTTACAGGGCTGCCTCCTCCCCAGTCCTTCTTGCAGCATCTCTGCTCTGGGCCCCGTCCCATCCTGCTCTGCCTGGCCCTCAACCTCTTCCTGCTGGTTGGCATCTGTGTGATTGGATCCCAAAGTGAGGCGCAGGGTTGGGTGGTGGAGGGGTGGATGTTAAGAGTGGAGGTGGGGGGTGGGGATGGGGCGCAGGGGAGGTGAGGGGTAGAGGTTAGGGGGTCGCTGGTGGGCAGTGAAGCAATCATGGGTTTACTGGTGGGGGCACTGAGGGGTAGTGATGGATAAGGGTGGCTGCTGGCCCTGCCACTTATTAGCCAGGTAATGCAGTCGAGTGGCTTAGCCTCTCTGAGCCGTGGTTCCTGCATCTGCAATACTGATACCATTTGCCCCCATCCTTTGGGTTGGGGCGCTGTGAGGCCAAATGAGACATGCGTGTCCGGCATTCTGCTCAGTGCCCACACAGCAGACCTGACACATTAACGCCAATGGTCCCTTCCACCTGCTCAGATTCCAAGTTTCAGGGGGACCTGGTGACCCTGAGAACAACTTTCAGCAACATCACAGCTGAGGTCGAGTCCCTGAACTCTCGAGGTGAGCTTCTGTTGGGCGTGGGGCAGTGGGGGTGGGGCTGGAGGCAGCCTGGCCTGAGCCTTGGGACCCCGTGTCTTCCAGGTGACAGTGCTCAAGGAGCTCTGACGTCTCTGAGCGCTGAGGTGGAGAACCACAAGCAGGAGCTGCAAGCAGGTGAGACCCCTCAGCAGGTGTGTGGTAGGGTGGGGGCTGGGCTTTCTGGGCAGAGAGGAGGCGGCTGGAGCAGCCTCAAGATGCTGAGCGTCCCCCCTCCAGCCCGCAGCTTGAACAACAAAGTGTTTTCTCTGGAGAAAAAGCTGGAGGAACAGCAGGCGGAATTCAAAGCAGGTCAGACCTTGGCTCCCCTCCACTTGGCCACGATGTGTGTGGGACAACTTGGAGGTTCCTAAGCTGGGTCCCCAGGCGCAGCTGGCCTCCAGGGACTCACTGAGCAGAAGCCACAACCACAACCAGGCACCGTCCCCACGGCCCATCTCTGTATGTCCCAGGTTATTCCGAAATGCTCCCTGTGGTCCAGCAGCTGGTCAAAGACCTGAAGTCCCTGACTTGCAAGATGACTCTTCTCCAGAGCAACAGTGAGGAGTAGAGGGGGGCTTACCCAGCCTCACTGGCTGTCCACATCCCCCTGAGCAGCATCTGAGACCCTCCCCACCCCTGGCCCCTCAGGTTCTCAAACTACCTGCTGTCCCACTGACTGGCTGGAGCATGGAGGCAGCTGCTACTGGTTCTCTCGCTCTCGGAAGTCCTGGTCCGAGGCTGAGAAGTACTGCCAGCTGGAGAACGCCCACCTGGCGGTCCTCAACTCCAGGGATGAGCAGGTGACTGTGGAGCCCAGGTCCCACGGCATGTCCCATTTACGGAAATGGTTTTTAACCCTGGCTGCACACTGGAATCAGCTCTGGAGCTTTGAGGACAACTGCCATCCCAGGCTCACCCTCAGAGGCTCCCTGAGCCGCCATGGGATAAACACCCCAGAGCACCTCAACTGCTTTAGTGAACTGCTAGTCCAAGGGGTAGGCTGGGACTCTGTCCTCGGAGTCCACCCCACCCACCACACACAATGTCCTTTCTGTCATCCCAGAATTTTGTCCAGAAACACTTAGTCAACACATTCACCTGGATAGGCCTCACCGATTCCAACGGAGAGTGGAAATGGGCAGATGGGACAGACTACAAGACCAACTTCAAGTGAGTGTGCTCTGGCCTGGCCCCTTCTGCCCGGGACTCAGCGACCCAGGGTCTGGGCCTCAGCCCCTTCTTCCCAGACCTGGTTTCTCTTCCATCTTCCACTCTTCCTACTATGCTGCTGTCCTCCCCCCTCAGGAACTGGAAGCCAGGGCAGCCGGACGACTGGCAAGGGCACGGACTGGGCGGAGGGGAGGACTGTGCCCACCTCCACCCTGACGGCGGGTGGAATGACGATGTCTGCCAGAGGGCCTACGGCTGGGTCTGTGAGACCAGCGTGAGCATCATGGGCTAGGAGGACCTGCCCTGGACCTCACGAGACCCCGTGGGAGGGGGTACCCCCGGGAGATTGGAGCATTGTCGTAATTTGAATATTTTTCTCTTTAACTTTCAAAAGACTAGATAGAGTTCCTAAGTTTAATTTCAGTTTTATGAGCTATAAATATAAAACTGTAAGATATTGAAAGTGTATGTTGTGGTGATTTGATTGGCTTATTTATTGGGAAAGGATTCCTCCCATCTAATTAATAACACATCCATCACCTGCCATCTTCATCTTGGTTTTTTGGTGAGAGTATTTAAATTCTACTCTCTTAGCAAATTTCAATTATACGTGCAGTGTTTTACACTATAATCACTTGTTTCCTATTAGCTCCTAACACCTCTTCATCTTATAGCGGGACGTTTAACCTTTAACTAATAATCCTTCCTTGTTACCTCTACCTCTGGCCCCATTAAGGTTAGATGAGGGGTTGTAAAGAAAAGGAAGAGTATCAGGGAAAATTCTCAGCTTGGAGGGAGACCTGATGCAGGTGACTGAAGGGGGCAACCTGCAGGAGCAGCGCTGATGCTTAGGCTGTTCTCCTGAGACCACAGGCATTCTCACACGGTCTTTTATTTATTTATTTATTATGTGTGGAAGAACTGGGGTGAGGTCCAGAAGTACAGAGGGTGAAAGATTCACCAGAGACAGAGTGGGGCTCAGAACAGGCAGATCTACTGAAATACACTGCTGAGGGGAGCAATGGGCGAGTCAGGAGAGGTCTGCTGTGCCATGTGGGTAGCTCCCTGGCCGGGGATTGAACTCAGGTCATAGTGGTGAAAGCGCTGAGACTTAACCCCTCCACCACCAGGGAGGCCCTCTCATAAGTTCTTCATGTGCTCGGGCCCTCAGTCTGACTGAGTCTGTGCCAGGGTTTTGAACTTCCTTCCCACCTGTCCGAGCAGAGAGCAGGGTCCCCAGACAGGACTTCAGCTCTCGGGTGAGGTGACCTTGCAGATCTTCACAGCAGTGGGTGGTGTGAAGGCAGGGTGGTGCCTGGGTCGCAGAAGGTGCTTACTGAGGTTGAACTCCTGCTGCAGGGGACGATGCCTCTGTGAAGGCTCTTCTCTCCTTCCCCTGCTACTACCACTCTGGTTTTGAGGGCTCTCCTCCCCAGGACAGTGAAGCCAGTCAGGCCTGAGCTGGGCAGCCCAGTGGTTGAGCCTGCAGGAAGCTGGGGCCCGCCAGGGTCATGGGTCTGGATTGGGCAAGAGCTGAGATTGGGCCCCTCTGATCCTGGTCAGGGATATTTGGAGACACATGTAACTCTGGGAAACTCAGAGGCAGGATGTGGAAGGGGGAGGGACAGAAGGGAAAGAGGAAACTGTACCTCTGGCCCTTTCTGGCTAGGACCCCTCCTGACCTGTGCAATGAGGAATGAAGTGACTGGCCTATGGAGGTGTGGGGTGAGTAGGAGCTCCCCTTCCCTGGGGAAACAGAGACGGTTCTGTCCCCTGCCCCCCACTACACTTTGCCTGAGTTCCAACTCCATTTCTACTTCTATTTACTGTCCAAAGTCCCAGGGGCAGGAGATGCCAGGTTAGAACCACTCGGACCGACGCACGGGCTCAGGGCCCTCCTGGGGTCACCCCTCCTCTCCTCTCCTCTTCTAGCGCTGCCTGCCCCACTTCTGAACCTTAGCCTCTCCTTTGCCCTGGGGTCCAGGTTGCCTGAGGGACCTAGGAATCAGCCCCCACACCTCGAACAGGTAACCCAGGTTGGTAGGCGTGTGCGATTGGGGAGTTTGAAATTAAGGAGACTCTGGTTCAGGCACAGTGGAGGCCAGATGGGGAGGTGTGTGGTGGTTTGTTCTGTGAGAGTATGGAGGGAAGGGTCCTAGCTGGGTCAGGTCCCAAGTAATGGCCTGAGAGGGTGGACACCCAGTGTATGCCACATCCCAGCCCCAAACTCACTTCCCAACTCAGACGCAGCTCAGATCATGGCCTTGACCCACTCAGATGTTATGTTGAAGTCCATCATCTGCCTCCCCCTGAATTAGCATCTGAGCACTAGCATCAGCCCCAGACTCGGTCCTACCACCGACCCAACCCGCCAACTCCAGCTCCAGCCTGGACCAACATGGAGAAGGACTTTCAAGACATCCAGCAGCTGGACCCTGAAGAAGATGACCACCAGCTGGGTGGAGGCGAGAGGCCAGGAACTCATGAGGACAACCCCAGGAAAGAAGACCCGTTTTGGAAACGGGTCAGTTTCTAGCTGTCTAGCTGTCTGGTTCCCCGTGGCTCTCTGTCTCTTTGAGGTCTCTGTCATATTCACTCCATGACCAGAGACAAGGCCCCTCTGGGTGGGAGGTGCCTGATGCCTCTGCTTGCCCCCGACCTCACCTTCTCTCTGCCCACAGGGCCCCAGAAAAGGGCGTGTGTTAGGGCTCAGGGCAAAAATAGGTGCTGGGGACGACTCCTCCCTTCTCCTTCTGACCTGAGCAGAGTGTGCTCTGTGTGAGTGTGTGTGTGCATGCGCATCTGTATGTGTGTACAAGAAAAACACACAGGAGAGTGTGCATGGGGGGGCTGGGTCGGGGCTTGGCTTGGGGCCCAGGAGGTCCTGGACGATGCCCATCCCCTCCTCCCAGCCCCACTGCCTAAATCCTTCTGTAGGAAATCTTGACTGAAGGCCCCAATTTGGGGAAGTTTTTTTTAAAAGGATTTATTTATTTATGCATACAAGAGCTGGGGTACAGACCAGAGATGCAGGGGGGTGAGAGGATTCACCAGAGACAGAGTGGGGAGCAGAACAGGTAGATTGACTGAAATACACTGCTGAGGGGAGCAGCGGGTGAGACAGGAGAGGTCTGCTGCGCCATGTGGGTTTCTCCCTGGCAAACCGGAGATCGAACTCATATTGCAGAGGCTGGGGATTGATAGTGCGGTGCTTAACCCCTTGTGCCACCAGGGAGGTCTGGGGGAAAAGTTTTAACATGGGAGGGATTTGTGCTGTTCTGGGTTGAAGAGCAGGAGTCAGGGCTCCTAGGGGGGAAGGGTGTCAGGTGATGGGGGCCAGTGATGGAGCCTGGCTCAGTGGAGGCAGGTGTTAGGGCTTAGAGCTTAGGGAGGGGCATTGGCTAGCCTGGGCTGGGAGGAGTGGCCCCACATCCCCAAGGCTGGCAGCTCTCTGCTGTTGCAGGCGAGGGTGTGAGCTGACAGGGCAGGAGTCTGGGAGGGCTCACATGCCCATCAGGCCTTTCCTAGGATCAGGCAGCCCTGACGTGCCTCATTCTGCATCCTCAGTGCCCACGTGATGCCTGGTAGACGGTAACACTCAAAAATGATTTTGAATATCGTGGAATCTTCTACAGGAGAGAGGTTTCAGAGTTTAAGCGAGAGGTTTGGAGAGAGTACAGAGATTTTAGACTTTTTAGGAGAGGGAGCTCACTCACCCAAAAGACCTGATGGGCAACACAGAGGGGGTGGTCTGAGTGGGGTGGGCAGTCATTTCTCTCCAGCAGCCTCTGCTCCTGGGAGGGCCTGGTCACATACACTGGCCTCTATCCTTGGCCCACTGCCTGATATGTCCGCCCTGCCCTTGTCCTTAAGCTGACACGCCTCTAGTTATCAACACATTTGAAAATGTTCGTGCTGGTCATTGTTTTCTCAAATATTTTTTCTGTCTTCCCTTCTCCATTTTCCTGCAGGACTTCAATTACATACATACTAATGGTCCCTCAGCACACTGATGGACTTACTTTTTTTCTTTTTCTTGACTTTCTCTTTTTTTTAATATAGCTTTTTTAAGGTTCACAGTTCTTACCTTATGCATGTCTAATCTTCCATTGATTCTACCTAACACATTTTTCTTTTCAGATATTGTAGTTTTCATGCCAATAATTCTTTTTTATTTATTTATTTATTTATTTATTTTATTTATTTTTTTAATAGAGGCATGTTTTATTTATTTGTTCGTTTGTTTGGTTTTGTTTATACATGCACTGGGTACAGTCAGAAGCGCGGGAGGGTGAGAGAATTCACCAGAGCCAGAGCTGGGAGCAGAGCAGGCAGAAGGACCGAAGTACACTGCTGAGGGGAGCAGCGGGCGGCAGGAGAGGTCTGCGCGCCATGTGGAACCCTCCTCCGGTGGCCGGGGAGCAGCCGGGGATCGAACCAGCGCCGCAGAGGCCGCGGGCAGCTTCACAACCCAGCGCTCAACCACTGCGCTACTGGGGAGGCCCTCATGCCAATAATTTCAACTTGGAACTTTTAGATGTCTGCCATGATACTACTTCATTTTTTAAAAATATGAATACCATTATAATATCTGGGGTTTTTTAAGCTTAATATCTGTTTTGTTTTGTTTTTTGTCCCTGTCTGCTAATACTGTCATCTGTGTCAGTTTAGATAGATTATTAGCTTCCTGATATGAGTTGTGTTTCTGGCTTCTTTCAATCTTTGATTGGATTCCAGACATTGTGAATTTTACCTTGTTGGGTGCTGGATATATTGGTATTGCTCTAAATATTCTTGAGCTTTGCTTGGGAATGTAGTTAGGTAACTTGGAGTCAATTTGATTGATTTGAGTCTACTTTTATGATTAGGTGGGTCTAGAGTATACCCAAGGCATGAACTTCTTGCCCTGTGGGTTATTAGTTTTTGAGTGTGGCTGGTACAGGCAGTATTCCTGTGGATGCCAGAGTGCAAATGCATGTGTGTGCAATGCCCAGAGGCTGGGGTCAAAGCCCCTGACTCCCCTAAAGCTGCCCCGGCATCTAGTTCCCCCACCACTCTCAGTTATACTTCCTCTGCCTTCCATTATCTAGATCCCCGCTCTGACCCCCCTCTTCCTGTCTCCCCTTCTTTTGCAGGGACTCTCCTGCCTCAGCCCCTCCTGCGGCAGCGTTTCTGCTCCAGGCACAGGCTCAGTCTGCTCGCCCTGAGCGTCAACATCCTGCTGCTGGTAGCCACGTGTGTGATCGGGTCCCAAAGTGAGGGTCACAGGGACCAGGAGGGGTGGGGGAGGTGATGGGGAAAGAGAAATGGGCAGTGCTGGGGCAAATATGGAGGCAGTGGTGCGTAGGGAGGGGGATAGGCACACAGATCAGATGACAATGGGGGCTCTCATACGGGACACAGCCCCCTTCACTTTGTCCTGTCCCCACTGTCTCCTGACAAGGAACGCAGTTGCAGATGGAGTTGTGGACCCTAAAAGAAATATTCGGCAACTTCTCCTCTAGCACCCTGGTGGAGATGGAGGCTCTGAGCTTCCATGGTGATTGGGCACTCCCGTGAGGAGTGGGTGGTGTGGATCCGATGGCCCAGGCACCTGTTGTGAGGGTCGGTGCCGGTGTCCAGTGCTGAGTCTGCAATCGGGGTGTGCTTGGTGCTGTGGGCTGCGGGCTGGGGCAGATCACCCAGCCTGAGATACTGGGTAAACTTCAGGGGCACTGAATCTGAGCTGAGGGATGAACTGGGTGAGGCAGTGTAGGGTAAGGTAAAAGTATCAGGCTTTTCTGCCCTCCCTCCATTAGGATAGATGACGGAACCCTGTGGTCCCGAATGCATGCCAGATAGTGGGCACCTGGAGTAGGGTGTGGGCATAGGTAGATGGGATTCACCTGGGCTAAGACTGTGCTTTTAAGGGTGGTCTCCGACGCCAACAGAAGCAGAAGCAGCAGCACAGGAGATGCAGAGATAACGCCAGAGAACGCCAGAGAGCCCAGAAAGAGTAAAGACTTGCTGGGGTCTGGGAGGCCTGCCAATCTCCCAGCCTCCCAGCACCCCTGCCTGCTGTGTACCCAGTAAATCCCAGAAAAGCCTACAAAAGCCACCGAGGACTCCAGGACTCTCCTCATTCACCCTGTCTGCTGGATCAGAAAACCTGTAGTCATGGCCTGTACTGCCCTTACAGGCAGGTAGAGAGAGGATGGATTAAAACCAGGCAGGGAAAACAGAATCTGTGGCACCAGGCATGAGGGAGACTAAACAACTCCAGCCTGGCAGAACTAGGTGTTGAGAGAGCAGAGAGCAGGTCGGGGCTAGACCATGCAGGTTAATGATGAGAGTAACGATGTGAGGCTTTATTTGGAGGGAATGGGGACCTATTGAAGGGATTGAAGCAGGGGAGCGACCTGAGCAGGTGTGTGCTTCAGAAGTCTCTGTGGCAGCTCAGGGCACCTCCTAGATGTTGGGGCGCCAGGGGGTGGGGACCGCAACATCCCAGGTCAAGGTGATGGTGCCAGGACTACGCCCCAGGGAGGTGAGGACGCCCGGAGTTAAGGAGACAGAACCGAGAGGAAAGTTTAACTCCTCTCCCCGCCCCGTCCCTTGTTTTCAGGAGGCAGCTCTGGGAACAAAGTGACATCTCTAGAAACCAAAATGAACAAACAGCTGTTGGACCTGAAAACATGTGAGAAACCCCTCGGTAGTGCGTGAGAGGTGTGCGCCCGCGTGGCGTGAGTGTGGCGTGAGTGTGCTGCGCATGTGTGCGTCCACAGCCCAAGGCCTGTGCTGGGTCGTGAGGGTGGAGGGGCAGAGAGGCACCCACACAGCCCACATCGTAGCCCGTCCCTCTGTCCCTCTAGATCATTCCACCTTGCTCCTTCATCTGAAGCACTTCTCAGGGGATCTGCGCACCCTGTCTTGTCAGATGGCGTTCTTCCGCAGCAACGGTAGGGAGAGGGGCGGTCCCTGGTCCCTTTGTGCCTGTCCCCTCAGCAGGATCTCATCTCCCGCTGCCCCCTCACAGGCACAGAGTGCTGCCCGGTTAACTGGCTGGAGCATGGAGGCAGCTGCTACTGGTTCTCTCGCTCTGGGAAGACCTGGCCGGAGGCTGAGAAGTACTGCCGGCTGGAGAACGCCCACCTGGTGGTCATCAACACCAGGGAGGAGCAGGTGAAGCTGGAGCCTGGGTGGAGGCAGGAGGAACCCTGGGGTGTGCACTCTGGGGGTGGTTCAGGCTCGCTTTATTAAGGTTTTTTTTTAACCTAAGGAAGACTCTAGAAAGGTTCTGGGAGGTTAAAAATAAATTAATTTTTATTTATTTTATTCTTTTTTTAGAGATTTATTTATTTATGCATATAAGAGCTGGGGTGTAGGCCAGAGGTTTGGTTTGGTGTGAGAGGATTCACCAGAGACAGAGTGGGGAGTAGAACAGGCAGACTGATTGAAATACACTGCTGAGGGGAGCAGTGGGAAAGACAGGAGAGGTCTGCTGTGCCATGTGGGTTATCTCCCTGGTCAGGGATCGAACTCAGAATGTGGTGACTGGCAATAGCTTTATAGCACTGAGACTTTAACCTTGAGCCACTGGGGAGGCCACTTAGGTTGTATTTTCATCCCGAGAAATGCAGGTCAGTGACCCTTTTAATGTTTTTTATCTTGAATTCAGCTTTATGTGATATAAATAGAATAGGTCTTGATTTCTTTTTTAAAAAATTAATTAATTTTTAAATAAGTTCCTTTTTCTTACATTGTTGTTGATTTTGGGATGGTATATGATTTCTCCCCTCAGATGTGGTCTTCGTAGCTCTCACCATCAAAGTGCCCACAGTCCATCACCATAATTCCTTGGGATCTTTTTCTCTGTAGCCTGGGGCCTGTGCTTGGCCCATTTTCATATCTCAGATGTGGGTTTCTGCTGAGTGGCTGGTTTTTGTTTATGTAGTTTGAATTTCTCTTCTCAGTTTCTTCCCTTTATTTACTGTTGTGTTATTATTTTTCTTTGATGTCACATGTCATTCATCTCTCTAATTTTTTGGAGGATGTGAGCTGTTCTCCAATATCTCCTTATTTTCTGACACACTCCTTTCCAAAGTATTTTTTAAGATTTATTTATTTATGCATGCAAGAACTGGGGTAGAGGCTAGAGGTGTGGGGAAGAGTGGGGAACACAAGAGGCAGACTGACTGAAATACACTGCTGAGGGGAACAGCAGGGAGGCAGGAGCGGTCTGCTGCATATTTTGGGTCAGTGCTGCAGTGGCTGCGAACAGCTTTATAGGTTGCGTCTTAACCCCTTGCACCACCAGGGATTCCCCTTCAAAGTATTTTTTTCACCTCCATTTTTGATAGCAGTTTATTCTTCCTCCCTCGTTCATCCCTTTCATCTTTATTTTTTTAAAAAGATTTATTTATTTCTGCATATAAGAACTGGGGTACAGGCCAGAGGAGTGGGGTATGTGTGAGAGGATTCACCAGAGACAGAGTAGGGAACAGATCAGGCAGACTGTCTGAAATAACACTGCTGAGGGGGAGCAGCGGGGACACAGGAGAGGTCTACTGCACCATGTGGGTCACCTTCTTGGCTAGGGATCGAACTCCTGCAGTGGCTGTGGATAGCTTCATAGTCTGTGCTCAACCCATGGCACCACCAGGGAGGACCATCATCTTTATTTTTGCATCACTTCCAAGATAATATTTTTCTCTGCTACTTTTGTGAATAATCTCAGTCTGTCTTTCTTGTCTGTTATCTACCCATGAGTAGGGGAGATGAACTCACCTAGACTCTGCTCTGATCACTTGGTGCTACTTGACTGTTCTTTCTGCATCACAGAAGACTGGCTATTGATGATTTGTATTCCTTGTCTACCTTCTCGTGGTGAAAGAAAGTAGGGACTAGGGCAACAGTCATCAGCGGATGGAATATTTAGTCCTGAGACATTTTCCCTCAACCTCTGCTGACCCCTCTGACACAGGGAGCAACCCCACCAGTTTCTGAGGGTTGCCCCTTCATGCACAGGACATTGTCCTATTTGCTGGATTCTAGAATTCAGGGGTGTGATATGTCTGCCCATAGATGAGAGAGTTAACTGCAACCTTAGTTGGGTCTCTAGGAAGTGAGAAAGGAATTAGGAAATTTCCCTTCAAATGCCATTGGAGACCCTTCACATGTTGTCAAAGGGAACTGCTAGGCGTGTGTGTTGGTGAGCCCATCCCTCTATTTCCTCCACAAACCCAGGTGATCATACCCTCTCCTTGCTACCTTCAAACCATGGGACTTAAGTTGCCAGAAGTAGCAATATCTGTACAGGAGGCCACTCGGGGGTCTGGGGCCTAAGGGGTGTACTTGAGTCCTAGGGAGCTATCTAAGCCACCACTTTCAGCCCAGCCCCAGGCAACTGGCTGACCGGGCTGCTCCTCACACCCAGGGCAGCCTCCCATTTGCAGGACAGCTGGCCAGACCCCATGTAGCCAAGTCCTAACAGGGCCTTGGGCCCTGGGTCCAAGCTTGGAAACTCAAGTCCTAGCAAACCTCTGAAAATGTCAGCTACATAGAAACTGATGTATCTGAGAGGCGAGTGAGGCCAAGTTCCTTAGTAATGCCAGGGTGCATGGGGGCTGCAGGGCCAGGGGCCAGAGTCGAGATTCCAAGAGTTAGAAGTGTGGGCAGAGACAGCGAGAAGACCTGAGTTCAGTGGTGCTGTGAGTTGGGAGTAAAGTGGGAGGCCAGGTACAGTTGCTGCGAGCTCAGGCACTAGATCAACTTCGTGGGCTCTACTTATTCTCATGGGTAATGTGTGCTTCATTAAGCCACCCAATTTAGAAGGTCTCATGAGCATTAAATAAAGTAAGCCCTGTAAAGCGTTTAGCTTGAGGTGAGCCCAGTGTGTGTACATTCAGCTGACAACAGCTACGGTCACAGAAGAGAAACATGGAACTAGTGGTAGTGGGAGCTGATGCTTCAGCCTGGAGCAGGTTAGGCTGGGGAGGGCTGAGGGAAGCCCAGCTGATGCCTATATGGCTGTACAAGGGACTGGAAGCACTTCTAACCCCACCCTGTTCTGTTTTCCAGAAATTCATTACACAACACACGGAGCCCTTCCATACCTGGATAGGCCTCACTGACAGTGATGGCACCTGGAGATGGGTGGATGGCACAGACCATAGGCTTAACTACAGGCAAGTTCCCTCGTTAGTTCCCACCCCGTTAGTTTGGCCTTGGGACAGCCACCTGGTCTTTCACCCCAACACATCAGTCCATTCCCTCTCATCCTTCAGGAACCAAATCCCTCCCCTCTCCCCTCAAACCCCCAACCTCCACGGCTACAACTCTGCACCCTGAGCCCAAGGTGAGGTGGAGGTGTGGGTTGCTGGGATGGAGGGGAGCTCAGAGCTTGTCCTGCCTTCTTAGGAACTGGGCTCCCTTGCAGCCAGACGACTGGACGGGGCACGAGGTGGGTGGAACTGAGGACTGTGCGGAGATGAGGCCGGATGGCCGCTGGAACGACGACTTCTGCCTGCAGATGTACCGCTGGGTGTGTGAGATGAAGTTGAACATCACGGGCTAGGAGCCCATCCTCCAGCATGTCTTTCTGATCTGCACCCCACCCCAGCCCTGTCCCAGCTTTTTTATAGGGATTTTGAAGAAAGGAAGAAAAGAGTCAGAGGCGTGAGAAAGGGTTGAGGACAGATAGAAGGGCGTGGATTAAGAACCTCAGATCTGAGAGGCTGAGAACCTATCTCCTACTGCAATTCATTGGAATTAGAATTTTGAGCCTTCAGTGGAGTTGGAACAAAAGAAACTAATACTTCAGACTCTGTGTGGATTGGTTATTTGGGCTTGGGAATGTAGGGTGCAAAGAAGGAGAGGACATGGTTTAAAAAAGAGAAAATTTTATGTTCTAGATAGTTGCTCCTTGACACCCAGTAGTAAGACACTTTTCCAGTATGGCTGACTGGAAGCATGGCTGTCTCTTTTGGGACCCCAAACACATCTGGACCTATCTCCAGCACAGAAATTGTCAGCAGCAACTTCTACAGTGGGAAAATATGGCCTTTGAAGATCAATCTGAAAGTGACCTTGAAAGGATCTTTAAGCAATTTGATTTTTGCTTTAATTTTTATTACAAAAGTAACATATACTATCAGTAAATTATGTCTCAAATATACACACACACACTACAGGCAATGAGTAACTTTCCCAACCCCTCCCATTTTCCTCAGTTAAATATTTCACAGATACTGTATTGGTCAGGGTTTGCCAAAGAAAGAACCAGTAAGATGTGGATGTATGTATGTATCTATCCACACATACATATACATACACCCACGCATATACATGTACACATACACACGAGTGATTTATTATTAGGGACTGGCTCATGCAACTGTGGAGGGTGGCAAGTCCTGAGTTGACAAGCTGGAGACCCATGAGAGCTGATGGGGTAGCTTGAGCATGAAGGCGGCAGGCTCTAGATGCAGGAAGAGCCATTATTTCAGTATGAGTCTGAAGGCAGGAAAAAACTAGTGTCCCAGGCAGGAATTACTGTTCTACTATGGGAGGCTTATCTTTTTGGTTCTATTCAAGGCTTCAGTGGATTGGGTGAGGCCCACCACACCTATGAGACTAATCTGCTTTACCCAGCCTACCAATTCAGATATTCATCCCATCCAAAAACACCTTCACAGACATATCCAGAATGATGTTTTACCAAATATTTTTGTCCTTCTGTCCCTGTCAAGTTGACACATAAAATGAACCATGATAAGTCCTTGTCAGTGAGTTTCCTGTGCATTTGCATATTCATGACACTGCATATCATTATATTGTTTGCTTTTGTCACTTTACATTGTCTTTGGACATCAATCCAATCTATGCTATTCCCTGGCTGGTTTTACCTCATTGAATTTAACAGGGTAGATTACAGAATGTGGATGTGCCACATGCCATTTAACGGTTCTCTGTAGTAGACAAGTAGTTGCTTTAGATTTTGCCACATGCTAGTTGTTTTCAATCAATTTTTATTTCTCAGCTTATGCTAGGTTGACTTTTTAATTTTCAGCTGCAAAATTTTCTAGGGCTTCTTCAAAATATGCATGGTTGGCATTAAATAAAATTTTAAAGTAATAATACACATAATTAAAAGTCTTATGGGGCTAGAATAGTCACCTCATTTACTTCCTTCAGCCATTCCTGCTGTTCACATAAACAAGTTTCTGTGTTTTAGCAGTCTCTTCCAGTATTGACACCTATATTTCTAAAGAATACACTCATGGATATCCACATATTTATTGATTATAGACATAACTTAGTCACTATGTTGAAATGAGGTGCAATCTATTAATCGCCAAGCCATCTTACTACGTTTACTTTCTTGCATATTTTTTTCTGAAGTTAATCATTTTTTTCTTTTATAATTTTGCCTTATATTCTTTGTTTTTCTCCACATATCCCCAACTCCCTGCTTTATATTCTGTGAACCTATTGCAAAGACTTTCTTAGCTGTGAAAAAACTCACAATAAAATTTTCAAACTGGCCACACAATCAGTATTTCTGTTGTGCTTTTTCCCCTGAGAACCACTGGCAGGAATCCAAGTTTTAGGAGTCCTTCACACAAATGTACACAATTGTGAACAGCCCTCCTTAGGAAGAAAATACAAAATTAAGCATAAAAGTTAGTGTTTAAATGACGAATTTATTTTTATTTTATTTATTTTTTAAAGATTTATTTATTTATTTATACAAGCACTGGGTACAGTCAGAAGCGCGGGAGGGTGAGAGAATTCACCAGAGCCAGAGCGGGGAGCAGAGAAGGCAGAAGGACCAAAGTACACTGCTGAGGGGAGCAGCGGGCGGCAGGAGAGGTCTGCGCACCATGTGGGACCCTCCTCCGGTGGCCGGGAATCAGCCGGGGATTGAACCTGCGCTGCAGAGGCTGCGGGCAGCTTCGCAACCCAGCGCTCAACCGCTGCACCACCAGGGGAGGCCCTAAAGGACAAATTTAAAAATCTGAAAACCGGGCCTCCCCGGTGGCACAGTGGTTGAGCGCTGGGTTGCAAAGCTGCCCGTGGCCTCTGTGGCGCCGGTTCGATCCCCAGCTGCTCCCCGGCCACCGGAGGAAGGTCCCACATGGCGCGCAGACCTCTCCTGCCGCCCGCTGCTCCCCTCAGCAGTGTACCTCGGTCCTCCTGCCTGCTCTGCTCCCTGCTCTGGCTCTGGTGAATTCTCTCACCCTCCCGCGCTTCTGACTGTACCCAGTGCATGTATAAACAAAAAAAACCAAAAAAAAAAAACCAACCAAACAAATAAATAAAAACATGCTTCTAAAAAAAAAAAAAGAAAATAAAAATCTGAAAACCACAGTCAGCATCACAAAATCTAGATAAATTATATATTTTAAGTAATCTAGACACATCTCTAATATCTATCTCCCTGCCTGATTTTTAACTTTTGTTGTATACTCATTGTTTACTTCCACATGTGACAAGGAGTTGTAAGGTGATTTTCCAGAGAGAGAAGGGAAAGAGAATTGTTTCCTTATTACTGATGTCAGGTGCTTCAGGGTGTGTTTGTGTCCCACCTCTGTGTCATCCCCCACAAGTAAGTCTGCATAGTGGGTGGTAGAAGTACCCCCTCTCCCCATACACACACCCTGAAAGCCATTCCTGTGCAGATGGGAAACCATGAGCATACACAACACGACTGCAAACTGATGCCCCTCTCAGTTCCAGCCAAATGTATTTCCAACTCAACCTCTCCGTTGGATGAAAAAGAAGCCAACTGACATGGAATAAAGTGTGAAGGAGAGAACATTGGAGTGGAAAGTGACAATGGTTATTTTAACTGACGGTAGCTCATTTAGCTGTCAATTTCATAATTTAATAAAGAAGCAGACTTAAGCATGTCCTATGCTTGGAAACAAAAACATGGATAAAATAAAATTGCCTTTGAAAAATGAAAAAATTCATGGGAGCCAATAGCCTCCTATAATAATAATTAAAAGCTAAAATTGTTTCACAGTATTTTAGGAGTGATTTACCACACAATTTATCAAAGAAAAACCTCAATGAATGCCAAAAAGGAGGGATTTTTAAGGCCTCATCTCATGTTATAATTAAAGTGATATGTAAATAATAAAGAAGGACCAGAATATTTTAGATCTTTGTAAATGAAAGTACATACTTTTCCGTACTACCATGATTCAAGTGAAAATAATCTAGAAAAGAATCAAATATATCAAAACCTATGGAATGCAGTGAAAGCTAAACTCAGACTAAAATGTGCAGCATTGTGTTTATATAAGTAAAAGTTAAAGATTGACAATAAATAAGCCGGTGTTCAACATAAAAATCAGGAAAGTCAGCTATAAAAAATATTTGAAAATGGGCCTCCCTGGTGGCGCAAGGGGTTAAGGACTGCCCTATGAAGCAATGCACAGACTCTGCAGCACGAGTTCGATCCCTGACTGGCCAGGGAGAAACCACATGGCAAAGCAAACCTCTCCTGTCTCGTCCACTGCTCCCCTCAGCAGTGTATTTCAGTCAGTCTGCCTGTTCTGTGTCCCAATCTGTCTCTGGTGAATCCTCTCACCCCCCACATCTCTGGCCTCTACCCCAACTCTTGTATGCATAAATAAATAAATCTTTAAAAAAATAAATAAAATATTCCAAAATGTAGTAGTAGGAGGGAATAAATAAAAAGAGAATATTAGAAATTTCCAAAAACTAGTAGAATGTAGAAAAACTAAAACCCATTTTTAAAGTAAAATTTTTATTTTTAAATAGTTGGACTCATAAGCAGTTGTATACAGAGAGATCCCATGTAACCTTTACCCAATATCCCCCGATGGTAACATCTTGCAAAACTATTGTATAATATGGTGTTCAGGATATTGGCATGATCCAGTCAAGATGCAGAGCATTTAACCCCTTAAGAATCCCTTGGGGAGGCCTCCCTGCTGGCCTAGGGTTAAGTCTCAGAACTATCACCACTACTGCCTGAGTTATCCCCGGCCAGGGAGCTGACCCACATGGTGAAGAGATCTCTCCTTTCTCACCCACTGCTCCCCTCAGCAGTGTATTTCAGTTGATCCTCCTGTTCTGCTCCCCACTCTGTCTCTGGTAAATCCTCTTACCGCCCCCACCTCTGTCCTACACCCCAGCTCTTCTAGACACACCGAAAAAAGAATCCCCTGTGGAGCCACAGCTACCTCCATCCTCTATCCCATCTAGTTCCAAACCCTGGACAGCCACTAACTGGCTGTGTATTTCCACAGTTTTGTAATCTCAAGAATGTCAGATAAATGGAGCCACACCCTTTGGAATTGACTTTATTCCCCCCACTCAACATCATTCCCTGGAGATTTGTTCAAGTTCTGGCTGGTGTCAGTGGTTGATTCTTTCTTGCCTCGTAGCATTCCATGGGATAGATGTACCACAGCTCGTTGAACCATAAATAGCAACTGGGTTGTTTCTAGCTTTGGGCTCTTACAAATAAAACTGTTATGGACACTCATGTACAAGTTTTATTGTGAACATAAACTTTTGCTTTTTTGTAATAAATACCTA